ACACCAGCACCAGCTTCCAATATGCGAATCGAATCGAATCATTTATTTCAGACATACTGGGTTTATATATCAATCAGACAGACCACAACGTACCATAAAATGGGAAAACACATTTGTACACAATAAAGCCAAAAAGTGGCTGTGAACGTGGGAGGCAGTAGTCAATAAACTGAACATAACTTAAGAACCGTAAATCGTACAATAATAACATATAGGTCAAAATAAAGCTTATAACAAGGGGAATATAGATATACATAATCTAATTATTGAATAGTTATACCATAAGAATATATAGATAATATTAGTCAATTAATATGTCTCAGAAGTTACTCATGATTTAATCTTCGCTCGAACATAACAGGAGGATTCGACAGCTGGACGTACCTGTATACTACAGTTGATGTTCACTCTACCACTCCAATCCAGTCTTTTATTGGCGATATTGAGGCAATCGACACAGGATGCATGTATGCCAATAAGAGACTGATCAGTTGCAATCTTATACATCGATTGAAAGCTTCAAACAACCAGTAAAAAAGTGAATTTAAACTTCACCCTATCTCACAAGCTAGTGGCTATCAAGACTCAGTAGCTAAGTGGATAACGTGATGGCGTTTGAAGCGAACGGTACTGGGTTCAAGTGCCGAAGTGAATATATATAGCTATTACTGACTTATTTTAAAATTTCAAGTTCGACAGGATTATTAAGTGCCTTTGTATGTTTTTGAGTTTTCAAGTACGGTACGACAGAATTAAAACATACTACAAAACAACTAAAACCGTTTTCAATGCTTCATTTCGTATAAAGCATATGATTCTCTTTATGTCAACTGTAAACTGTCTACAGATTAGAATTTATCTATTATAATACCTTTGATGTTGCAGAGTCGTCTTTTAAAATGTTGACTTGAGCTAAAGAACATCTAAACTACACGAAAAAGCATCTCATTATCTTGTAGAGCTTTGAATTCTAAATTAGGTCAGTAATAGTTATATATTCCATCTTTAATAGTCATCAAATCCATATCAAAACAATCCGACAAAAGCTTTCCCAACTATAATGAAAGGCAAGTGGCTTAAACTTTCCATATATTGTTAAATCCTAATGTCCTCAATAGAATACAAAGCCTTACCATCCATCCAATTCGGACCATCTATTCAAGCTACTATATCGGATTCTATTCATATCTCACACCATTTTCATATTATAAATATCGCATGTATCACACTTATTACCATACCATATCATACCATAGACAAAAAGACACAAGTATATCTCATGAATACTACCTTGACCTGAGTGACATAATAAATGGACTTGATCAGACCTGTTTTTTCTGATTGATTATATAAAATAGTTTTGCATTGTTCCTTTGTATTACTACTAATGAAACGTGTATTATATTAATTTCATGGAAATCACGACTTGATCTAATTTAATTTGTTTACTTATTCTCTGAAGAAGTGATTTACATTCAGTTGCGAAACGTTTAAATCTTTTAGTATTACATGTGTTATAATGCAAATTTTTAAACCCCAAATGCCCTGGTATGGCCGAGAGTGGGGAGAGTCCGCTCTCCCTCTCGAAATACTCTCACATGGCCACGCGTATACAGCCTCTGCCAGGGCAGTCCTACTCACTGCCTTCTCGTGGCGGGGGTGTTGTTTACGAAAATGAGAGGACGAAAAGCGAATGTCCGGCGCTTTAACCGGATTCCAAACCAATGATGCACATGGGTTGGCTCCAGTATCCTGCGGGAACAAATGGCGTATGAACCAATCGTTGGCCACCGGCTTCCATGGGACTGCATCTCCTTACGATGCTCCACTGCCTTGTGGATCAGACCTTCAGGTCGAAGGCTCGGGGAGTGGTCCCCTAAGAAAACCACCTGCTTCGGTTTGAGCACCCGGGGAGTATTACAGCCCTCACACATATCGAATGAGATTTGTGTGGCGCATATGTATTTGGTGCCTCCATGTACCAATACCTATGTGTTAAAATAATAATAATAATCTTGTATTAAAACAAGAAAATTTAGTCACATCATTAAAAGCATAGTGTACTGTATACAGCATTTCTAAGGTGATTACAATTAAATATAGTTACTCAGTGTACTCTGAATATGAAGAATATACCATTATGAAATGTATCAATTAGCAATCAATATAAAATATATTCAGTTTGTTAGTTCTATTCTCAGTTATATGGTACTGAACAAAGATTTGTAGAGTAGATTGAAAGAAAAGGTGACCTAAACGAAGTACAAATCAAGAAAAGCAGATATTGAACTAGAATACAAAGATGTTTTACCTAGCCTATTTGTGTTTTCTTCAATTCTCTAACTTTTGCATTATCGTAACAATAAATTAATGAATGAATGGTATATTTGTGGCTTCCAAGTGCCCTGGTACAGCCGAGAGTGAGGAGAGTCAGCTCTCCCTCTCGAAATGCAATGACAGGGAAGTCCTACTCACTGCCTTCTCGACATCACGATGTTGTTTGTGAAATTGAGAGGTCGAAAAGCGAATGTCCGACCTTTTAACCGGGTTGGTGGATATGAAAGATTCATCTGGGAGAGTTGAAAAACCCTGATTCCAAATCAATGGTGTACATGGTTCCAGGATCCTAAGGAAACAAATGGCGTATGAACCAATCGTTGAGCATCGGTTACCGTGAGACTACATCATATTAAGTTGTTCCACTGATTTGTGGATTGAACCTTTAGGTCAAAGGCTCCGAGTGTGGCCTCCTAAGAAAATCACCTGTTTCGGTTTGGTCACCAGGACAGTATCACGACCCTCACACAGATTTAATGATATATGTGGCGCTTGTATCAATGTTTATGTGTTTAAATAAATAAATATTAGAATATAGTTTACAATAAGTCATATTGATAATACTGTTGTTTATTTGAAGCTGTTAGTGAAAATACTTACTTTCTTTACTGTTTATATTTCTGTTAAACGGACTAATTTATAATGAGTATTGGTTGGACTGATATTAGTAACAGTTGTAGTAGTTAATTCAGATAGATGTTAAGATGTTCCATCTGGAAAATTTTCATCGTAAAATTAAGTTTATGTCTAATGGATAAGACCTTCTTTGAAAATTAAATTAATATATACTACTGATATGTTGTATTTATTAATGTTACTATATCAGAAGCGGGTTTTGTGGATATTAATGTAATTTTAATGGTTGAGATGGTGAGTTAATTGAAGCTCATTAGTGACGGTCTCCAAAAGGTATTTCCTGAAGTTCTAATGAGGAGCAGTGACCGGTTAACTTCAACCAGGTCTGTTATGAGATAGTAACTCACTTAAGACAATGTTGGATGTGTCGCTCAATTTCGTGGATTAGTTGAAGTTAGACATTAACACTGTTGGATGCCGGCTCAGTGGTTTAATCGTTAAGTGCTCGCGCGCGAGACCGATAGGTCCTGGGTTCGAATTTGGTGAGACGAGATTGTGGATGCGCACTGCTGGGGAGTCCAACAGTAGGACGAAACGGCTGTCCAGTGCTTCCAGGTTTTTCATGGTGGTCTGATCCATTAAGAAAAGGCTAAACATTTCTCGAAGGCATAGTTATATTCTGGAGAATAAATGAATATGAACAATCATGATATATCTCAGGTTCATATACGCTACTAAAATCGTACTGAATGAGAGAATGCATCCTTCCTAATGGTGATGTCAGAATAAACTTCACATTACTTATTGTTAATCAGAATAAAAACTAAGGTAAATAAATCAAGCATCATATTTCGAAAATAAAACAAACCATCCAGTGTGAGGTTTTAATTATGGTACCATATAGAAATATAATAAACAAAGAAGGGAGAAGTAAATATGATCACTAATGAATTAAGGAACTGAAATATTAAGATTTCTTAAATTAACTTGGTTTTTGTTTTACTTGTATCTTCCCATTGTTGGCTTATGTGCATCCTGTGCGGATTATCTCAATATAACCTTAAGTCACAAGCTGTTTGAGCAAAGATGGATAGTGGCTAGCAGTGAAATCCAGTTTCACGCACGTTTCGTCCTATTTGGCACTAGTCAGCTGGATGTATCTGCATCAGAGTTGATGTTCATTCTGAGGCTCGAACTCAGTACCGTTCGCTCCAAACACCATCACTTGATCCACTTAGCTACTGAGTCCTAATAGTCACTAGCTTGTACAATGGGATGAAGTTTAAATTCACTTGATGTTGTTTTATTTGTGTCTTCCCATTGTTATTTAGGACTACAATTGATCAGTGTCATGTTGGCTTATGTGCATCCTGTGCGAATTACCTCAATATAGCCTTAAGTCACAAGCTTTTTGTGTAAACATATAGGATGAATGTTCTATTGTTGTAATAGATTTATTTATTTATTTTATTTTAACACATAGATATTGGTACAAGGAGGCACCAAATACATATGCGCCACACAAATCTCATTCGATATGTGTGAGGGCTGTGATACTGCCCGGGTGCCCAAACCGAAGCAGGTGGTTTTCTCAGGGGGCCACACACAGAACCTTTGACCTAAATGTCTGATCCACAAGGCAGTGGAGCATCGTAAGGAGGTGCAGTCACATGGCAGCCGGTGACCAACAATTGGTTCATACCCTATTTGTTTCTTTAGGATACTGGAGCCCATGTGCACCATTGGTTCGAAATCAGGGTTTTCGAACTCCCCTAAGTGGACTCTCAATGTTCACTAACCCGGTTAGAGTGCCGGACATTCTCTTTTCGTCCTCTGAATTTTGTAAACAACACCCTTGGTGCGAGAAGGCAATGAGTAGGACTTCCCTGGCAGATGCTGTATACGCGTGGCCATGTGAGAGCGGACTTTCTCCACTCTCGGCTGTAGCAGGGCATTTGGGGGCGGGATTATAACTCTTCATACAAACTGGGTTAAGTATAAGTAGTACATATCTATTAGGAATTCAGTAGTCAATATAATCTAAATTAATCGTTTGTTTTCTTCTTCTTCTTCTCCTCAAATTCTAGGCTAAAATATCATCAAATCAATATGGGAATTTCCCATCTATTATTATTCCAACAGTCAATTATTTCCCATGTTCCACTAATCATAATCAATATTCCTATATAAAATTACCAATTCATTGGCCTAAATATTTTATAACACATCAACCAATTATACCAATTGATGTAACAATATCTAATTTAAGTCAATCATCATCTACTATGATTACATCATCACAATTATCCAGACAAAAACGATCTATTATTTATCGTCATCATCATCCAATAAATCAACCATCAAATCAATCTATTCCATTATATAGATTTTCTAAATTATATCCAATAGCCTGTTTACAATTAAAAATACAATTTCTATCTAATAATCATAATCAGGATAATGATAATAGATTAGATAGTCAAATTGTTTTAAGTTTAGGGTAAGTCAAGTCTTTTTTCTCATTTCATAATTTTTATAATGTATATGATTGATTCATCGTGCTTCGGTTTTTTTTTTGGGGACCCGGGGCAGTATCACAACCCCCCTTGCACAAACTAAATGAGATCTGTGTTGCCTCCTCCTTGTACCAATATCTATGTGTTCAAATAAAAGAAAATATGATTCATATATAACTGGAAATAGAATCAATAAATGTGACTTCTTTAGATGATGTTTTTTAAGTGGAACATTTATTACTGACTTCTTAGCCTTTCTCCTATCACCATAGACTATTACTATTATTATGCTTCAACTTGAACCAATAAAGGAATAGTATGAATTGTGAATAAAACCTATACTCCAAAATCAGTCATGTACACTAAGTATTTGACCACAGATGTCTTAGAAATATTGCTGGCGTCTGCTGGGATCATCGGGTAAGCAATAGTGAGGTTAGATGCAGGGTATTAGGGAATGATGATGGTTAATCAGTTGATGAGGTTGTGAATCTTCATCGACTGAGACGGTTGGGCCACGTGTTACATATGCCCAAACACCGATTACCACGACATGCAATGCTAACCGCTGTTCGGGATATTTGGAAGAAAGTTAGGGGTGGCCAAACCAAAACGTGGCATCAGTACTTGAAGTCACTAACTTCTAGTCTGAGCCATGATGGGGGATGCACACTACTTGATTGGGGTCCGCGTGACTATCGTAACCAATGGTTGGAGACTTGGTGACATGGCTCAGAATCGATCACAATGACGTCGGTGTATACACTCTCTGTGTTCCCTTAAACTATGAGATTAAAATTGCTTTATATCTTTCTTTCTACGAACTAATTCTTTCTTCCTGTACTATATCCTTATATGTATTCTTTTTTTTATATATTACTAATATTGAAGTGACTACTCCTATGAATCCGATGTCCATCTATCTTGTGTTAATGAGGTATGGCAACTTGGACCGATGCATAAATGTGCCTGGTCCTACGTTGTAGCTGACTGACTGACGGAGTCAAGTCTATTTATAGTCATATGATTTTGTTTCTAAAAATTTCTAGAAACGAACTATATATATATATAGCAACGATACAGCTTATTATTATTCAATAAATACGTGATACATAACTCTTCATTTTTCTTAGATGTTTGTAAGAAGCTTTTATTCGATGTTGATTGGATAAAGTATTTCTTAGAGTTTTCAACTCTTCTACTGAATTTTGACGAAGGAGGTAGTAAGCCGTTGAAATTTCATTGGTCAAAATAGTTGGGATATAAACATAACAGAAGGAAAGTCAAAAAGTCGCTTATCCCGATACACCTCGGTAAATGTAACGTAAATGATGACTGGTAGCTCACAGATCAACCCATAACATCAGTTTAAAAGGTTATTAGATTTCAGTGTGAATCATATGAAAAAGTATTGGATGACTTGTAGTGTGGTTGAAATTCAGTTGTACTTGGTTGTGTTAACTCATATCATATCTTTTCTTCCTTCTCAAAGTCTTATCATACTATTCAGTTTGAACCAAGTTTCGAATAAATCTAGTTACTTAATAGTTAAACAATAAGAATATATACAAACATAGTCCACAATATAATCGTTGCAGTTATCATTCATTTAAACTTATACCATATAGTTATGATACATATATTTTTCTCTTTAAATTTCCCACCTTTAGTTCAAATAAACAAACAATTCGAAATGTGTTCAATATTGAAGAATTATATGCAAATGCATATTATGAAGATTACAGTGATGATGATGATGATCTTAGGGAAAATAGTGAGACATCATCACATACTTCATCTCCTCCTCTATCAAGTAAATCATCTAGAATAGATTGGTCAATAATACGTCAAGAAATATCTGATTTAAAAAATAATACATTACCATATAATGTATGGATTAATGTTTCAATGCCTATCTATCCTACCACTATCACTACTACTACTACTACTACTACTGATCTTAATACACTCTCTAATCAAACTAATTATCATTATAATGAATATGTAAATCCTTCCAAACTTCATGAGACCGTCTTAGAACAATCTGATCATTGGATTGCTATAGATTCTATACAATTATTATCTATATACAGTACAAATAATGTATGCATTGATGATATCCTATTGTATACACATCAGAATAGACAATTCTTAAAATCAACATGTCAGAATAAATTAATTTGGTTTAGTAATAATAAAAAATTGAATCATTCTATACAAATCTTATATATTAATTCAAATGGTTATCCAATATTATTGAATAGAACTAATTCATCATCATTATCTAGTCAATCAAATCATCATCATCATCATCATAAGAAGAAGAAAGATAGAAATAATTTCATTCTACAATCTTTTAAATCAATCTATTCAAAGAAATATCCAATCTATCGTAGTGTACATATGATATGGATAGCTGGTTCATTATTATTAGCAGTATTTATTACATTTTTAGCTATTTTATTTATTATTACATTTAGTTTATCAGTTATGTGTAATCAACGTAAAACTGTCAACACTATTCATTTAAGTACTACTAATTCAACTACTGAAAATAATATAAGTAGTCGAAATGAAAAATGTAAAAATAATATGCCATTATTGTATGAACCACATAATCGTCGAAAATTCTATTTAAATCATTATAATAAAGAGAATTGTAATAATGAATTATTAAGAATTTTACCAAATAATTTATCGAATAATTCATTTTTAATAGATTTACATAATCATTTATCTTCATCATCATCATCATCATTACATGGTTTATTAAATCATCATCAAAATGAAGGAAAACAACAAAATAATTCACAACAGATTATTATTACATCAACAACAAATCAACAATTTGTAGATGATAATTCAACAGAACTTAGTTTATGTATACAAGATGATAAAAATGAATTTCTTCGTGTAAGTTTTCTCCTTTCTTTTTGTTTTTGATGTTTACTTGTTTCGACCCAGGCTTCTATTCTGAACATATCTGATAGCGTCTCTAGCCACTGTGTCGCACCATCTCTAGGACCGCAGCCAGGGAGTCGTGAAGGACCAGCAGAAACAAGTACTGTACAGCTTTTTTTCATACCACCATCTCATACACGAATCACCTCTCCGACTTTTCCAGTGTCGGCGAATAATGCATGACGTGGAATTCTATGGGATGACACTCGTAAAACATGTTGAAGTCATCAGAATCGATGTTTCAATATAGTGACACTAAGTGAATTATCATCACTGTGCCCGAACACACTATGCTGAACCTCATCATTACTAACATGGTGTTGCCACTGGATGTCAGCAATCCTTCGGAGACAACGATGATCAAACACAAAGAGTCATCTAACATCCTCAACTCGAAGTGGCCAGGTTTCACAAGCATAGAGCAAAACTGCTCTCACAGATGCGTTGTAGATCCGACCTTTTAAAGCCAGACTAACATCACGAAGACACCAAAGATGGCCTAGATTGGCATAAGCCGCTCTGGCTTTCACTATACGTGAATTGATTTCATCACCCACGTCACCGCTAGCATTCATGCAGCTGCTCAGATAAACGAACGTCTCCACTATTTCTATCTGTTTAATACCCAGAGTGAGTGATGGATCAGGCTCCTACCAATCTTATGCAAGCACTTTGCTTTTCGAAGGTGCAAAGCATATACCCCATACGTATAGACACTAATTGCCAACGAGATGGTAATGTTGTAAATATTATCTCGTTACAGAGTAAATAACGTACAAATAGTTAGGGTTAGATTTAATAAATATTTGTTTATTTTATTTTATTTTTTACATCAGAAATTCAATCTTATAGGTATGGTACTACCCGACCGTTGTTGCTACCTTGACGTGGTGGTCGGGCTTGCCTATCATGATGAAGCAGCCGAGCTATACTGGCTGGAACAACTGTTCCTCAAGGTCCTACCACGTCAGAAAGGTCGGTTGAAGAGCGATAACACTAAAAGCAACAAACCCAAGGTCCGAACGCGAAGTCATACTGCTGACTGTACAGAAGTGTGACAGCAGTAAGGTGTTTCCTTCAGAAAACCAGCATGACAGCAATGCTGCCTTCCCACAAGGAGGCGTGGGGTTAGGAAAGGTCGACCCTAAAAATGCACACCTCGCCTTATCCCATGGATATCCGTCTCCGGTGGTAAGGTCTCAACAAATACGGAGCTAACACAAAAATTGCCCATAAAAAGGTCGTGTGTGACCGACCTCAAGCAGTTGTCCCTTGGGCACTGCGGTTACGCTCTCAGGTCACTAAGACCACTTCTAATCCGATTTCCTTTTCAGGTACCTCCAGAAGAACCCTTCCACGGTGTGGGCAACCGGGAAGTGACAACCGCCATCATACCTCTAACAGCAACCGGTATGGTATTAATGAAATTAAAATCCTTATTGTATTGTATTTCTCGTGGGTTATTTATGCATTAGTTTGCGAACTATCCAAAACGTAAATGTCAGATATATGTGCTTTCAAAGAGTTAGTTACTGTTATTTCGAAAAACTGAAACTCTCAGTTAATCATCAGCAATGTAGAACCTGGCATAGTTGTTCAATGATTCAAGAAGTTACACTATATCATCTTAGCGAGATAAAATTATCATTATACAAAATTCCAGTATAGTAGTAGTTTTAACAATACCACTGGTATTGATGGTAATAGGAAAAATTAGAGATGAACAGTATGTATAAAGAATGAATTTTTACCATCAAAAGTACGTAAACCGAAGATCTAAGGGAGGACAAGGAGTGAATACCTCTGCACTGGTTCTGAACGTCTTCAACTACTAATTTCGCTAATCATCCAGAAACCAACTAGCTATTTCATAATTAGTTCCTTTTATGAATTTGAAGCCCCCAAATGCCCTGGTACGGTCGAGAGTAGGGAGAGTCCGCTCTCCCTCTCGAAATACTCTCACATGGCCACGCGTATACAGCCTCTGCCAGGGAAGTCCTACTCACTGCCTTCTCGTGGCGGGGGTTTTGTTTACGAAAATGAGAGGACGGAAAGCGAATGTCCGGCGCTTTAACCGGATTCCAAACCAATGGTGCACATGGGCTCCAGTATCTTGTGGGAACAAATGGCGTATGAACCAATCGTTGGTCACCGGCTACCATGGGATTGCATCTCCTCACGATGCTCCACGGCCTTGTGGATCAGACCTTCAGGTCGAAGGCTCGGGGTGTGGCCTCCTAAGAAAACCACCTGTTTCGGTTTGGGCACCCGGGCAGTATCACAGCCCTCACACACATCGAATGCTATTTGTGTGACGCATATGTATTTGATGCCTCTTTGTACCATTATCTATGTGTTGAAATAAATAAATGAATTTGAATAAAGCCAGGACACATATGGATGCAGAATAATATGAATTTACTATATTTCGTGGTTTATCATCAGCTGCTTACAACGATATATGTATCTAAAGTTAACATTGAGGTAGGATATAAAATGAAGGAATTGACATAAATGAATACAAAGAATTGGACTGACAAAGGTTATCAATAATAATTCTATATATATATTTGGTGTCAGGACCCAAAAAACATTAAGTGAAGTCCGAAGATAGAAAAGATCGAATTCGGTTGGAGGAAAGTTAGGGGCGGCCAAACTAAAACGTGGCATCAGTCCTTGAAGTCATTAACTTCTAGTGTAAACCATGTTGGTAGATGCAAACTACTTGGTTAGGGTCCGCGTGACTGTGAAATTAAAATTGCTTTATACCTTTATTTCTACGAAGTAATTCTTTCTTCTTGTACTATATTGTTATATGCAAACTTTCTTTTATATATTACCACCATTAAATTAACTACTTCAATGAATTCGGTGTTCATCTTGTTGTGCTAATGGGATGTGTCAAGTGGGCCCGATGTATATATGTGCCAGGTCCTACGTTGCGGCTGACTGAATAAAAGCTTATAATAATAACAATAATAATTTGGTAGCTTTTACCTACCAATATGGTTCAGACTAACAGTCAATGACCTCATGAAACAATAACGCGTTTTGTAATTTGATGATTTCTAGCTTTTTTCTAGGTTCCTCTAATACCAACAAACATTACACTTGAATGGATATCTTGTGTGTATGTGTGTCGAAATCATATGTTTTGTTACTCAACTATTGAACAGATTACTTAAGATTTCATTAAAATGCTGTTCGTCTTGTTGTAATAATCAGCTATGGCAACTTGGACCAATGCACATATGTGCCTGGTCCTACGTTGTAACTGTCGTAATACTTCAATGAGTAGTCGTATTAGGCGAGTACTTGTTATGTAATTGATAATATGTCACTTTTATTTTCTGTGCACTCGAGATATAACACATATACGTTATACTGATTGGCTAATATTAGAATTTTCAGGAGGGGTTTTGTGTAGATTTTTAGAAATTCGAATAGTTGTAGTCATGACTCAATTGAAGCTGGACCACCATAAAAACCCTAGAAGCACTGGACAGCCGTTGCAAGCTCGAATGCTGACACTCAGTTAAGTCCGAACAAGTAATAGTATCACTAATTCTTATACAAATGTTATGCCTTAGAGCTAAATACACAAACATATCAGTCAGCTACAACGTACGACCAGGCACATATATGCATCGGTCCAAATTGCCCCACCTCACTCATTAACACAACAAGATGAACACCGGATTCACAGCAGTGGTTAGGTCAAAGGTGGTAATATATAAGAGAAAGATTACATATAAGGATATAGTACAGGAAGAAAGAATTAGTTCATAGAAAGAAAGATATGAAGCGATTTCAATCTCTTAGTTTAAGAGAAGATAGAGAGTGTATACACCGACGCCATTGTGATCGATTCTGAGCCATGTCACCAAGAGTCTCCAACCATTGGTTACGATAGTCACGCGGACCCCAACCAAGTAGTGTGCATCGCCGATCATGGCTCAGACTAGAAGTTAGTGACTTCAAGCATTGATGTCACGTTTTGATTTGGCCACCCCTAACTTTCTTCCAACCATCTCCAACACCGGTTAGCATTGCACGTCGTGGTAATCGGTGTTCAGGCATACGTAACACGTGACCCAACCATCTCAGTCGATGTTGTAACAAATAAGAATTGTGTTATTAACAAAATATTAGTAGAGGTTTTTTTGGAGATTGTAGTAATTTAAACAGTTAAGATCATGAATCAATTGAAGCTAGACCATCATAGAAAACCTAGAAACACTGAATGGCCGTTTCATCCTATTGTATGAGACTCCTCAACAGTGCATATCCACAATCTCACTCTCCATGAGATCTCATCCATTCAAATGAACAAAATACTCAATTATATTTGTTTCTTTTTCTTATATATAGTCAATTGATAGAAAAATTGTTGACAATTCAGATGTATCTACAACAAGTGCTATACAATTATTACGTAATTGGAATTTTTATAAACAACGTAGTACATCATCACCATTTAGTTCTTCATCTAATAATAATAATCCTATAAAACAATCCAATGTAAAACATAATACATCAATGTTATTATATATGGATCATCATCATCATCATCATGATCAGCCATTATTTGGAAAAGGTTATACTCATTCTAATATAATTGCCAATAATCTTAACAGATCAAATTTCAATGATAAATTAGAAGAGAATGTTATGTATCGATGTCAATCAAGAAATGATACATCGAATTTACCTACAATATCAAATATACGTCAATCTTTAATATTATCCATTAATGATAAGAATGAATTCATTCTATTACCATCATCGAATTCTATGAATCCTAATGAATCGAATCCAATATCATCAACCATTAATAATAATAATAATAGTAGTACATTAGGTATGTTAAATAGTTTATCTGAAGAAGATGCTGAAGCAACACGTTTAGAAATGGCAGCTTCTGTTGGTGCATTAGATCAACAATATTTACAACATAATAACAGTAATAATAATAATAATGATAATACATTAGATCATTTAGATTATACTTTATCAACTATACCACATTCATCATTTATTAGAAATGATGATGAAAGACCACCACCTAGTTATCATGATTCATCACCTTAGAAATTAAAATATTTAGTTCTTCATAAATTTAGCATTTCTAATTGATTGTTTTTTCCTCCTCCCCCCTCCCGCTTATTGTTTTCTATTCGAAAAATGAATTTCTTTAATAATCTTTTAGTGGTAGGGAAGGGGTAGGTAGGTAGGTAGATAATGGGATCAAAATGTTTTTCTCTACCTACCCCATCCTTTTTTATCTTGATTGATTCATTACTTACTTTTATAGACTTCTCCTTGATTAATAAATATGATGGATGATTTAATTTAGTGTAACAGAACTTTTCTCAAATAGTAATAAGGCAGTGAATTGTCTAATCTCTAGATCGAATCCTTTGCATCATTCTATTCGTATTGAAGATAAGCAATTCATTTGACAAATTCACTTTATGTGATACATAAATCGGTTCATATTTCTATTTCCTTCTTTATATTATTTATTATACTTTTGTCGATGAGACTAGCTGGATTTTCTTTTTTTAATGAATAAAAAGTGATTAGGATTTTACAATTCTGTTGTGTTTTTTTATTATCATTATTATGTCTATGTGATGTAATTATCCTTTTTTTTGTAAAGAATTTTTTCCCTGTTCACTAAGAATAGTCAAATTTTTTTTATCGTCCTAGATACTAAATCCATAAATTGTATGCACCCACAGACATATGCACACACACACATACAATCTCTTGGCGCCAGTTGTTTTCTATCATCTCTCTCTCCCTCTGTGTGTGTATGTGTATTTGTCCTACTAGTAATATTTCTACTATATAAAGTGTTCTTGTTACTGAATTACACATTTTGTTACTTGATTTATACTGATTTTTTGCTTAGGTAGAACAATGTTTTCTTATTTAAATTAAAGTAATATAAATATCGAATGTAATTTTAGCTAATCCAACCGCATACATAGTTGCTTACCAGTCCCTGTGACTTCACTTTTATGACATCAGTGATGGTGATGATGTCGTCGTGAGGGTGTATGTGTGCATGGATCATATTTTAAAATTTGTTTACTTTATTTCTATTTATTTACACTTTTTTTCGAGAACAAAAAATTATCTATTTACAACGAAAATATTGATAGAATTCAATGATTTAATTTATTCAACGCCTCCCCCCCCCGCTTGTTTAGAACAAACAAACAAACAAACATCGAAATGCTTGAACCTTCAATCGATTAGGTAAATAATTGTTGTTGTTTATTTATTGATTTCTTGTTTGGAATTTTGTTTCATTTCTATTTGTAAATAACAATGATATTATATAATCCAGTCAAACAATCAGAATAAAACGGTTTTTTATATGTGTTTGGATGTAATTTAAGGCGCCCTTAAATGCCTCGGTTCGGCCGAGAGTAAGGAAAATCCACTCTCCCTTTTCAAATGCTCTCATATGGCTAAGCATACACAGCCACTGTCACAGAAACTCTATTCATTACTTTCTTGCCGCTAGGGTGTTGTTTACGAAATTGAGAGGATGAAAAGTGAATATCCGATGATTTAACCGGGTTGGTGGACACGGCGGATACACTTAGGGGAGTTGCGAAATTCTGATTCCAGACCAATGGTGCACATAGGTTTCAGTATCCTGAAGAAACAAATGGCGTACGAACCAATTATTGGCCACCGGCTAGCATAAGATTGCATTTCCTTACGTTGCTCCACTGCCTTATGGACCAGACGTTTAGGTCGAAGGCTCCAGGTATGGTCGCCTAAGAAAACCACCTGATTCGGTCTAGGCACCTATGGAGTATCCCAGCCCTCACACAAATTGAATTATTTATTTATATATTTGGTGCGTCGTTGTGTTGAAATAAATAGAATAAATAAGAGATAATTCCAGGTAATATAGTTAAATTTTATTGAATAACTCTATCATAGAGTTTACTATTATACTGTGAAATTGGCATAGTATAAGGGTTTAACTAGTTAGTGGACGACAGTGTCTACATAATACCTACGACGAAATGAAGCTCATAAACCAATGTAAGGGATTAGAAATATAATTTACGGTTGCTTATCAGGGTTCGGCAATAGATTTTGGGTTTTTCATCACGAACGAATATCAGCTCTAATGCCAAAAACTCTATTTAACAAAATCGATGAGTGAATTTCGCATCAAAATTCAAGACCTGTCATCTTAAATCTGATTGATTGGTTCATAAATTATAGTCTAGCCTCTATGCTCCTCTGCAGATGTAGGTATACCTCTTTCCTCCATTATTGTAAATCAATAATCAAACTGTTTCATTATGAACGTATTGAATAGTAAGCAATCTCTTTTTTTTAAATATAAAATTAAATATACCCTAATTTCAGCATATAGGAATTGGTTAATAAATTTTTCATAATATAAGTATAGAATTCCAAGGTGATTCACAATGTTCTTTAGGTATTTTGTTGATTGCCCCTAGTAATTAGTTATCACAATTTAGTCACTATAGAGGGAACAGTCTACACAATTCATTGCATTAATTACACTATGATCATTATAAATATGGAATAATATGGAAGTATTGCTAGAGTGTTGAACTAAGCGGGTATTAAGAAACAAACTGAATAATTTCGCACAAATCACCTAATCAAACAGAAATCGGATGCTTATAATTAGTTAGCTTTGATGTTATTTTCAAAATATCAATCTGAAATTGAAAATGACATCACGAATAGACGTAAGTGAGCCTTACAGTACATATTGCATAGGCAGGATTTTGGAATGTGGCTGAATGGACTCATGTTAAGTTATCCAAGCACAACGTCATCCTTAATATATATATATATATGATGTTTCTGAATTAGTTTCGAGATTTTCAGTGTGGATACAATAAACATCATATAAATTATTTTCCGAAAATTAAACTCTTCATCATTCATGAGGTACTTGGGACTAATGATACTGTTATATCTAGTAAGTTGTTCTTGAAATACCGCGTAAAACGTGAGCACTAGAACGCCAAAACCCTTCCAAATTGCAATGAGAAGACAGAATACTAATGAAAGGAATATTATTACCAGACAGTGTCAATTATAGTACAAAATTGTCAGGTATTTAAAGTTTTTAGTAAGAACGAAATCATCATTACAGTCCTCCAATCCGCGTACAGAGGTTTATTAGCATTGTCCTATCGGGAAGCTATACGCAGCAGTTGCAGAACATTCTTCTGAAAGCTGATTAGATGGAGTATCATTGACTTCTTCTAAGCCTCATACAGCATCCTCGAGCTGACCCGTAGTCCGTTGTCACACATACAAACCTAGGTAAAGTGAGGTTGCTGATAGACGACGTACATTCCTCCACGAGAGTTAACAAGCTTAAGTAAATAAGTAAGTAGGTGGGTTTCAAATGTAATTACAACAACATTATCTATTAGTGCCTCAAAATTCATTACTCGATGTTATCACTATGACAGTTTGTTCATAAGAAATTTTGAAAAGTTGATATAACAAGATTTGGATATTACGCCCAGTGACTGCAGTACATTCAGGCGCCTTTGCACAGAGGATGGCACACAACCATCAATATCCAATAACTACCACACCTCAATCAAACAACCCATCTATCTAACTACCAACATTTGTTCCACACACCCATTCAATCACTTCAAATCACAAACACTTCTTCCATACACACTAACATACATTGTCACGCACTACAACATCAACAACATATGCACGTCAAAACACAATACATTCAATTCTCTATCACTAATCTATTACAACAACATAATACACTAGCAGCACCAAACCCATCAACCAGTCTCTCACTCACTCACTCACTCACTCACTCATTCAGTTGGTCAATCATACACTGGCATATACACCTAAAAAAACAACAATATATACATACAATTACAATAACTCACCTCAAACTCACTAACACTGTCACACTGTCAGTCGCATCGTCAATTCACAAACCTAAAACACACAAAACAAATACATTCGGATCAATTCAACTTCAATTCACAATCCTAATACATCCATTCTATACACATTACTGTCAGACGACAAAACCAATAGTCATCAAGTAGTTCACAGATGTCCCTATCTAAAGTCATTCATCACACACAGGTTATTGAGTCATCAACATCATCGTCAACACACTACTAAACATAAACACACTCACTCACCTCTTCTTCACACTCCAAAACCGCACACTCTATGCTGTACTATGCAGTTCGATTACGATCCATCACCAACTACAAACCACCGACAAACCTGAAATAAACAAACAAATATACAAAAAACAATTAGCATTTCAATCAATCATCATTAATTATCATACACACAATGTCATATTAACATCATCAGTGGTTCCTTAGAAGTAAACGGCATTTTAACCTGTATACCGACAAGTCACTTTCATCACTATCAATCACCACAGCCACAGTAACGAAAACAAATCAAACAAAACCAACATATAAACTCACATTCACCACTTCAACATAACACCTCAAACACACAATATGCATTCCATCACACACGACAACAACACTGCACCACTATCATTCACAATATTCACACAACAACACTACACAATATCCATCAATTATACACATTAATCTACCATACCCTTATCAAACACCTCACACATACACAACACAGACAAAACGGTGTGGTGATGCACAACAACATTCACAGTGCATCACCAACTAATTCAATCTACCTCTGGTTCTTACGCCCAGTGACTGCAGTACATCCAGGCGCCTTTGCACAGAGGATGGCACACAACCATCAATATCCAATAACTACCACACCTCAATCAAACAACCCATCTATCTAACTACCAACATTTGTTCCACACACCCATTCAATCACTTCAAATCACAAACACTTCTTCCATACACACTAACATACATTGTCACGCACTACAACATCAACAACATATGCACGTCAAAACACAATACATTCAATTCTCTATCACTAATCTATTACAACAACATAATACACTAGCAGCACCAAACCCATCAACCAGTCTCTCACTCACTCACTCACTCACACACCCACTCACTCATTCAGTTGGTCAATCATACACTGGCATATACACCTAAAAAAACAACAATATATACATACAATTACAATAACTCACCTCAAACTCACTAACACTGTCACACTGTCAGTCGCATCGTCAATTCACAAACCTAAAACACACAAAACAAATACATTCGGATCAATTCAACTTCAATTCACAATCCTAATACATCCATTCTATACACATTACTGTCAGACGACAAAACCAATAGTCATCAAGTAGTTCACAGATGTCCCTATCTAAAGTCATTCATCACACACAGGTTATTGAGTCATCAACATCATCGTCAACACACTACTAAACATAAACACACTCACTCACCTCTTCTTCACACTCCAAAACCGCACACTCTATGCTGTACTATGCAGTTCGATTACGATCCATCACCAACTACAAACCACCGACAAACCTGAAATAAACAAACAAATATACAAAAAACAATTAGCATTTCAATCAATCATCATTAATTATCATACACACAATGTCATATTAACATCATCAGTGGTTCCTTAGAAGTAAACGGCATTTTAACCTGTATACCGACAAGTCACTTTCATCACTATCAATCACCACAGCCACAGTAACGAAAACAAATCAAACAAAACCAACATACAAACTCACATTCACCACTTCAACATAACACCTCAAACACACAATATGCATTCCATCACATACGACAACAACACTGCACCACTATCATTCACAATATTCACACAACAACACGACACACAATATCCATCAATTATACACACTAATCTACCATACCCTTATCAAACACCTCACACATACACAACACAGACAAAACTGTGTGGTGATGCACAACAACATTCACAGTGCATCACCAACTAATTCAATCTACCTCTGGTTCTTACGCCCAGTGACTGCAGTACATCCAGGTGCCTTTGCACAGAGGATGGCACACAACCATCAATATCCAATAACTACCACACCTCAATCAAACAACCCATCTATCTAACTACCAACATTTGTTCCACACACCCATTCAATCACTTCAAATCACAAACACTTCTTCCATACACACTAACATACATTGTCACGCACTACAACATCAACAACATATGCACGTCAAAACACAATACATTCAATTCTCTATCACTAATCTATTACAACAACATAATACACTAGCAGCACCAAACCCATCAACCAGTCTCTCACTCACTCACTCACTCACTCACTCACTCACTCACTCACTCACTCACTCACTCACTCACTCACTCACTCACTCACTCACTCACTCACTCACTCACTCACTCA